GTAAGTCCGCAGACATACTGCTGTGCCACGTGGGGGCGATATATATATATATATATATATATATTTATACCACTTTCTAATTATTTTTTACTGTAAATGGTTGAGGTTGTTTTAAATTCATTATCATCTTACTAATTATTTCTTTTCTTAGGGAATAATTTTATCCTGTTTCTTTTGGGGCTATGCTCTTACCCAAGTACCTGGAGGAAACCTTAGTGATAGTATGGGTGGAGATTATGTTTTATTTGTAGCAGCCATTGGATGGTCCCTACTCACTTTTTGTACACCTGATCTCATTCACATTTTTGGTGGTCCAATTGGTGTTATTTGGCCTATTGTTTTGGGCCGCTCCATTCTTGGGCTTTGTCAAGGTAAAGTTTCAGCTTAATTTTATCACTGATTGTGTATCTGAATAAATAATGAAATATGTATTTTTCTAGATAAAAAGTATGTAAACTAAAATAATAAATGTATAAACAGGAGTATAGTTTCTACAGTGTCTTCTTTACTAATTGGTCAAATAGAATTCTATTTGTTATTGTTATATTGTTTTGTGTGTTTGACAATTAGAAAATCTATTTTCATGATTCTGTGCATTTCTCATGGTTATACCTCTATTTTAAATTGATCCCACTCTTAAGTTTAAATGTGTAGAAATTTTATTCTTAGACTGGTATTCAAATATTACTGTACAAGCATGGTAACATACTATTTTTTTTTTTGGTATTCAAGGTGTCCATTTTCCAAGTGTTTCTTCTTTGTTGTCAAAAAAGTTAAGAACAGCAGAAAAGACATTTTTTCTCAGCTTTGTGTTTACAGGAGCTCCTGTTGGGTAAGTCTTATACTTACAGTGAAAAATATGTCAACCGTATTGATGACCATGACATACTAAAAAAATAACCCTAATATAAATCATTATTAGAAAAGGTCCATACACCAAAACCTAGGTTTTGTTTTTCTTTATTTTTCTTTGTGTACTTACTTTAATGTATATTTAATTTTTACTTCTTACTTTCAGGTAATATTGTCTTTAATGTTTAGTTACATATTTTCGTAAGCTAATGATAATGTTGTACCAATTTTAGAATTTCAGACTACATATTTCAGCTAGTTATAGCAAAATACAGCATTTTTTAATCATTACTTCAGAAAATGTTTAAGTTTTATAGTTAACTAACCTCTTTTGTCTACTTAGTCACAAGTTTTCAGTACAGAAACCATGCATTGCATAATAATTAGCTTACTATTAATACAGCATTAATACAACTCAAGGCTGAAGAATATATTGGTTACTTGAGATATCATGGGAAATGCCTTGAGATGTTCTTTTATCTTGCATATCATTCTTGAGTTACTGGCTATTACATAAAGAAGTAAAATATTCTGGAGAATGGTGGATCATGGGTAATTTCTTAAATAGTTTGATCACTTTATTGAATTTTTGCTTTTACATTTAAGATAGGTTTATTTTTTCAAGGATGTACATTTTGATTGTACATCCCATATGTTTTTGGTTAAATCAAAATGTAACTTGTGAAAATACTAATACTAGGTTTGTACTGGTTATTCACTTGCATTAATTGAAGCATCATTGTTATTAACCCTATTGCCACGGGTATACTTTACTGCGCATGACACAAGGTTTTAATGTCTTACATTCAAACTTTTATTCAGCTACATTTTGTTTATGTTATACCAATTAGTATAGCATAAAATTGTAGCTAATAATCCATATCTTAGTATATAAGTTCTAAGTTCTTAATTTTATAAGGCAATATTTTAAAAAATCCTGAATTTCCCCTTGTGTGACACGTGACATATTTTCTATAGGCATATCCATTTCTCTATTTTATCCACCATCCCTCCAATAACTAGAAAATTAAACATAAATTACTCACTATAAAATGATCATTTCTCAGACAAGTCATATTTTGTAAAGCCTTCAATTTTGTTTGGTTACAGAGCTATCAAATAGCCAATCAGACCCCTCTTGCCACACCCTCCTGTCGTATTCTCTTTTTCAGAATTTGTTAACAGTTCTCTCTTACGTTTAATTATATATCATCTATAACCAATAGAAAGCCAAGGTTTTCATCTATCAAATTACATATTATATTAAGGTGTGTTGTGAATAGATAATTGTCAATTTCACTTATTAATCTGGCAGGTTCTCAACAAATGATAATACTTTGACCATTTTTATGAACCTAGCAGTATTTCCCACACACTTCATATCATGCACAGTAGACCCAATATTGATGTATTTAAATTTTGTATGCTCAGTTTAAGCTTTTTTATTTCTTTAAAGTTTCTTCATTAAACAAGTTTTAAAATGTTATGTTGAATTTGTGTAGTGTTTGTGGATACCAAAATTTTGATTTGGCTAATAGTTTGATTGTAAGTAGCTATTGTCTACTTATATCTTCCTTATCTTTTTAACTGCTTTAGTTATTTATGAAAACTTTTAACTACAGAAGTAGTAAAAGTGACATTGCAAATAATTCTTTTTTTTTATGCTTCATAAACCATAACAATTTATATTGACTAGAATATAGTCTAAATACAATATAGCTTCCCTTTGAGTTTAACTCTTTGGCTATATATTAAATGATAGATAATAATAATAACAATAACAAAATTTAAATTAACAATTGACTGCAAAGCAGAAACTAATCTTACATTTGAAATAACTTGTTTAATGATTCTGTTATTTTTGAAACCCAACATTGTAGTTTTTGCAATTGTGGTTATTCTGTTTACTGATAGTATTTGATATTTGCTAGTTACTATAACACACTAATATATAGTACAGTGTTTTCCAAACTTTTTTTTGTTACAACCCTTACATGGACACCAACAGGACCTCATGACCTTCAGGCTTAGGAAAATTTATATACACACAACCATTTGCGACCTTACTAAGGAACCGCTGAGACCCTGATTTGGGTCGCGACCTGAGGTTGGGAACCACTGATATAGTAGTTGGTGTTATTGTGATTTTGGGTACCAGTTAGTGACTTTTATTCATTGGTAGTGTGTTGTGTTTTATAATTACTGTGTCACAGTAACATATGCTTGTATGTATTCAGCAACAAATTAGCAAGTTTAGTATATATTAGGTCATCAAGAAATTAATGTTACATTTTGAAACACTTTGATTAACCCCCCAAAAAAAACGTACATCACAATAGTTAAACAAACCACCTAAACATCACGTTAGTGTAGGTTATATAATGTGTAAAGGTTAGTATACTCTAATCTCTTATAGTGATGGCACACAACGAGACACACAATCGGCATGTAATGCTGTTTGAACACAAGAAGGGAAACAGTGCCTCTGTAGCCACAAAAAATATCAAAGAAGTTTATAGCAATGTTTTGAGTGTTCGTAAGTGTCAATGATGGTTCAGAAAATTTCATTCAGGTGACTTTAGCCTTAGAAACTGTGATGTCAGGGGCCGATATAACCATCTTTTTCATTCGCTGCATCACCATCTTAATGGGAAAACGTATGCAAATAGGGAAGGTGTTAAACAGGACATCGACATGTTTTTTGCTTCATAGCCAAGTAATTTCTTTAATCAAGGCATTAACAACCTGATTGTAAGATGGAAAAGTATCATCAATAAGAATGGAGACTATTTCATTTAATAAATGTTTTGTTTTGATATATATAAGTTGTTCAGGTTTTTTTCATCTAAAAAACAGTGACATTAATTTCTTGATGACATAATATATCAGAATGAAACACTTGTACTGACACTGTACAAGACTGTTTGCTCCTTATACTGGATGACTTGCTTCTCCATCTTTTTGATTCAAACATTGTTTTAATCATAGTAGCTTATAGGAGAGTGATTGTAAACAGTTTATGTATAGTCTCCTCAATAAAAACAAGACATTAAAAAATTTGGGAGCAACAATTTGATAATATAATATTCAGGCACTGTTTATAAATAAGATGCATTTTAAACTCGGTGATTCTTAGGTGTGTTAAACTTGAAATCGGTTTCATTCTTTTGTGTTTAATGAAACTGTAGGTTTTCAGAAAAGCAAAGTAATGTTTAGTTTATGAAGGTTGGCTTGCATAATCCAATATTAGACTGTTCATAGTATTATGTAACAATTGCAGACCTGATTATCTAACCTGTATCGTGGGTTAACAGTATAAGTGGAACTTGTATGGCCACTGAGAAAGTGGTTTCATGGTTGTACAGTTTTGCAATGTTTTGTAATATACACATAAGAATCATCTTCCAAAAATTAACTATTTAGATCAATGATCACTTGTTCAGCCATTTCTAGCAAGATATATGTACATACCTATTTCCAGCTGAATATTAAAAGTATTTAGGCATAGACTGTAAAGTGACTAAATAACTGTAGTGTAAAGAGTTTAAAAGTATCTAACTAGTTTTAGTAATGTTTAATAACATGCTAAGGTTAATGTATTAGTGAAAGGTCAGATGTAATATATTCTAAATATGTTCTTTTTTTTTTAAATCCAGAATGTTGTTGAATGGCAGTTTGGGCTCGTATATGTTGAATCGATTTGGTTGGCAGTCTGTATTTAGATGTGCAGGTAAGTTTGTTTTCCTTATTGTGTATTTCCAGCTGCTACCATGTACAGGTATGGTAAGAAATGTGTTGTTGTGAGTTTAAAGAAATAATTAATTTAAAAGTAATAAGAATTATAAGTTGTTTTTAAGTTTTAACACTGTAATTATGCATTAACTCCTACTTGTTACTTCTGCATTTTGTACTGTTTCACTCGTATACTGTTCAACAACTGTACTTATTCCAAGAAAGTTAAATATCTCTAAAAAAACTTAACTTTATTGTTTATTTATAGAAATATTAGAATTACCAAGTCTAATGTAATACTTTTAACTGTAAAGATTGTAATCATGGCTTACAGTCCTATGACATAAGACATATTCTTTAAACAAGTCAAATAGTTCCTATTTCATAGGACATTGTGCCACTCATAAAATTTCTATTATTAAGATATATAAAGTTGTCAATTCCAACCATAAAATGACAGTACATCAACTCTGATATTTATAAGTTGATTGGCATAACTCAAAGTGTCATATCAAGTTTGTCTTTAATACATGATGAAGTGCTGGTTTGGCTAAGAAATACATACAATCTCAGCTCAAAAAAGTGTGGTAAAATTATGGTTTGAAAGATCTAATTATAAATACCTGTTATTTTAAATTAGTAATTTTTAGTTTAAAAAGAATCTATTGGTATGTCATACATTCTTCATATTAGCTGTGATTCTAAATGATTATATGACAACTAAGTTTGTTTGAAAGAGACCGTAGCCAAGAGCTGTGATCATTTGTGATTTCATGTTTCTAAAGTTTGTTTTTGTATATAGATAGGTATACTTCAGAATGGTTTTTCAAATGAATTTTCGCTATAACAAATCTATAGAATTTGACTGATGCTCTGTGACTTTGTTATGTTGCAGTTGCATATATGTAAATTTCAAGTAGTATTGCTTCATCATATTAATTTGCTTGATCTGGGACTTATCAGGACATTTATAGTAATCTTGTTATTTTCAGCTTGCCATTCTACTCATAAGGACTTTGAAAAAAAATGTTTCATTAGCTAGACCAATCAGGGTATACATTTTCCCAATAAAAGAAGATTGAGCAAACCATTTTTTGTTATTTGAGTAACTGAAAACAGAATTGTTAACAGTTACCAATCACATGATTTTTGTGAAGTTTTCTGCTTTTGGCATCTTTAAAGATGTTTGACATAGGATAACATATTGCTCTTTCTTTTTTTTTTTTTTTGTTACGAGTTCTTGTTTTTGTAGTTGTAAGATCAATATTATTATTATTTGCTGAGTTTTTGCATTAGAGACATTTTTGGAAAAAGACTTTTAGAATGTTTTGTTGTTAATCTCTATCTAATAATGATTTGGTCATAAAATTGTTTCACTGTCAAGTTTTGCAATAGATTTAAGAAATGATTTGTTTTGTTCATGTGCGTATTCTTATTTTATCTCTAGAACGATAATAATAATAATCTTAGTTTTTTTAGTGCTTAGTAGTGCATGTTCTTACAATGTGTTATATAACTCAACAGGATGGTTTTTCCTTATTAGAATATTAAATACAAGTTTCCAAAACATAATTACCATCTGCTGACACTTATAGCTATTCCTCAACCTACAGGGTTTCAACTTTGCCCATCTAAGCATTAGTCTGATTTTTTCTCACTTGCCCCAATGATATAGTCTCCACTTACGTCAATGCGCCCTCTATCCTGGTACTGTATATAAGCACTTCAATCAGATAATTTATCACTTTTTATCAATAAAGTGTTTAGACAGGGGTTTCTCAACACAAGTGCTGTGATAATTAACGTACCTGGTTGTGATTTTTTGTCACCTAGTGGCTTTCTATATAAATTATATTTAATAAAAAATTGCAAAATGCCATTTTTGGGCATGAATTTGCAGGTTATCGTTTTCAGCACGGGGGCCAATCAGCCCTCCTCTATTCCATCTCTGTTATCTATCATCTCTCGGAGATCGGGGGGTGTTACTCTCAGTTGAGGCTGTCTGTGGAGACATATATTCAGTCCGGGTGTGTCTTCAGGGGTTTCTGAGGCTGCTTTTGCTCCTGGACAGTCTGGAGAGAATTTGGACTCTCTTTTTTTTTTTCTGACACCTTTGTTTACTAGATTGGCTTCTCATGAGGTCAACTTGGATCAGCCACTTCCTGCTCCATTTCTTCAGTTAGTCATTTGGGTTTGTGGCTTTCTCCAGTTGCCTTTGAATGTACTCCTTCCTTGATGGCTGAAAGGTCTGAGGATGACTACTTAGTTTTGTTCCTTAACCTGATGTTGCTGTTCATGCTCAGAGATTTACTGCTCTATTGTGTGATGGGACAGATATACTTTATCCCCTTTGTTTTTCTGAGTAGCCTGCTTTGGCTTACTGCCACCAGGTGGACATATATTTCGATTCCACAGACTAGATCCTCTTTTGGATATGTTGGGTTCCAGATTGGACCCTGTGATCACTTTGAACAGATCACAATTTCTCGGATTCGTTTGACCCCCACTCCCGTTCTGAGATTTTTTTCTCTCTTCCCC